CAACACTATGTGCTGCCCAATGCCACCCTTCCTGCTTACATTTTGTGCCACTCAGAGCTAATTTCAGTTCTCAGTATGTTGCTCTTTTACTTTCACTGCTTAGTTTAGGAAATTTCTCCTTCTACAAAGTGAATCTAATATGACTAGTACTAGTCATTTATTTGTATAAAGAAAAAATTGAGCTTTAATTAAAAATAAATAAAATAACATTATACATAACAAGGAATGATACCTCCTATGTTTAGTGCCCACTAAAGTACCCAGGAGTCTCTTGAACATTTCTATAAGTCTTATATATTGCTCAATCTTCTTTTAATTAAATCCTCTTTTCCTCAAGTGCCACTGATGAGCAAAAACTATAGCTTTTCTTATCTTATCTTAACTTTCACTTTATTAATAGTCATAGTATTCTTTTCTACCATTGTATTACAGATTAACTACATTTAAGTTATAGTGTAAGATAAACAGACTTTTAGAATTCTTTATGTCTGGGATTTCCTTGGTAACCTCACCACCCACTATTCTGGCCCCAACTATTGTCTGGGATAATATATTTGGTGTTGCTTAAATATAATCTACCTGTATAGAGATGATTGATATTTAGATATGAAGATACAGACAAAAATAATTGCAACCATTGTAATCATTCTTTTGCATAGCCCTCCAACTAAATCTAGTTGTTATGGTTTTAATATGAAAAGTCCCCATAGGCTCATGTATTGAACACTTTGTCCCCAGCTGGTGGCATTATTTTGGGAGGTTCTGGGAAATTTAGGAGGTGAGGACTAACTGCAGGCCCGGCCTGACTCTCTCTCTTTGCTTCCTGCCCACCATGAGGTGAAGAAGCTCCTCCATGACTAGCTCCCACTGCTGTATGTTCTGCCCAAGTGCAGGAGCCTACCAAACCATGGACTGAGCCCTCTAAACCATAAGCCAATAAATCCTTCTCTTAGCTTGTTTCTGTCAGGTATTTTATCACAGTAATGAAAAAGGCAATTAATACACTAGTTATTTTATATGTCTATGTTGAACTCATGCTCTTTTACATTATTCAAGCAAAATGATATTTACTTGCCTTTAAAATTCAAGAAAGCATCTCATAATGTAGACCTAAGTGCAATGCTACAGATACCAGTTTTCTTCTCTTCAATCAGACCATGGAGGGAATGGGCACGGCAGGCAAGAGATAGGTATTTCCACCTGTGATCTCACCTAATCTTCACAACTGTCTTGGAAATTGGTATTATTGCTCCCACTTTATAGATGAAAAGCTCAGGTTCAGAGAAGCTAAATACATTCTTCCAAACTTCTGGTGTTAGGGTTTTTGACATGGGGACATGTTAGGTAATTTAAAAATGAAACCATTAACATGTCATCTTCTAGAAATCACAAAAGAATGTTCAAGACTTGTTCACACTCTATGCTCAACTCCTAGCCCATTATTAAAGGCTGGCAATGGAGCGAGGATCAGTAGCTAAGGTTAGAATGAGGGTTGAGATGGCACTAACTCATGAATGAGCTGAAATACAATAACTGGGTGAGAGATTAGGAGCTGGAAGCCAGGGATGTCTGTTGTACATAATTTTGTAACACACTCAGTTATAGTTAGTTCCTATTTTGATAATTAATTCAATGTGATCAACTTAAAATAGCTCAGCGAAAATAAACTTCTCAAAATTCCTCATCAGCTAAAATTGACTTGCTTTGATTTTCCAAACTTCGAAGTAGTTTGGAAAACTACTCAGGTCTATGAATTAAAATTCTGTTTCTATCACACTATAACTGCAAAAAAAATGCCTGCCAGTTCTAATATGCTATAACAACTATACTCTCACAACCATTTTGATGGTTTTTCCTGCCAGGCGTATCTGCAGCATCTCTCCAAGATTTTATTTTGGGAAGTATGCTTTCTGCTTCCTCCCTCTAGTCGCCATCTTGGAATCCTCCACTCTCATAGCCATTTTGAAACCAAAACTCTGTATAACAACAATACCTTCCCACTTGTTGGATGGAGCTAGTTTATTAGACAGGACAGAGGAATGTTAATATCTCTTGTTATTATCACTAATAATATTAGTTAGATGCAATCTTTAACAAACCTTAATTAAAATTATTTCTTTGGTGACTTAAAAATACATATAAGGAGTTTCAAAATTATTTTTAAAACCTAAAGCAGACAGGTTCTGATTTCAGATAATAGATATGGAAAAAAAGGAAAAGCTTACAATAATTAAAAGCAATTTACTTATTTACTAAAAAAAAAACAAAAACAAAAACAAAAAACGGTGCCCTAGATGACATGATGTAAGTGATTTATAGCATGTTGACTACAGTTCTTTCAATGAAAAAGCAATTGTCCAAGTTTTCCCTGGAGAGTAAGCTCAGTAACAACAATCCATACTCATGGAAAGTCATGAGATAGAAAATGAGAATGAAATGAACTCACAGCTGGGAAAAGCCAACAATAATTAATTTAACACCATTCATTCAGCACAGACTATGTCTACATGTCCCTTGAGAAAAACAAGGTCACTGATAGGCAGAGGCCATGTATTTAAATAGGTTTAAAGAATTTTTACTTAATAAGGTAATATGCTCCAAAGATTTTACATAAAAGACAGCAGCTTATTTTAGGACTGAGAAATTATAATAAATAGTTGGTCAATGTCATCACTTGAATTTCAATATGGTAACAAATGTTTCTGAAAAGCATTGCCAAAGTTAAGTTTACATTCAATTTTGGACAGCATGCTTCTCAACAGCAGAAGGGAGAAAATGGTGTCATTAAAAGGAGTTTTATTCTGAATCATTGGCTAAGAAAATGGGAACAGTTTGAGATCTTTCATGTTGTTCATTTTAATGAGCAGTGAGCATTTTTCATGTCCTTATTAAATGGTTAATGTGTTTCTCTAGTCTCATTATCACTGCCAGAGTATCTTCTCTGTTGTTTCATGACACAGGACAACTCCTTTTCGTTTCAGAGAAGATCAGAAAGTCAAATGTAATTGCTCACATGTGTGGTTAATAAAACTCCTGCGGTGCTTCTCAAGGTGCCCACGGGGATTGTGCAATTATCTGTCTTTTCTTATGGTTTTCTAGAATTACTGTGATTGTACTTTCACAAAATAAATGTATCTCCACCAATTAAAGCAGTGGTGGGTTAAGAATATTCATCAGACTTGTATGAAAGGGTATTGTTCATAGGATTTTGATCAAAGCACAAAAATTAAACTGCTGTTATCATGCATTCAACTCAAGTTAAATGAAGATGCTCAGCAACTTCTGAGCAGATGTTAACTATTTATGAAGATAAACACGACACAGGACTTGCATTCATGATATGACTCTTTGTTACATTAAAAGTACTGAAAAAACTCTTACTACACAAATTTGTGAGATATAGCTTCTAGTACATGACCAATTTGAATTGCTGTTAATTCAGGTCAATTTGAATTTTCAGAAGCATAAAATTCTAATAAGTCTCATTTTGGTCTATATCTTTATATCTTATTTGCTTCACTCCTTTTTTTCTTGAGAGGCTGCAGGTCTTAGAGCTTCTATAAAAGCAAGCATCTGAGGCTATTGAACAAAAAACATACAAAATGTGTAAGCTTTCCTTCTCCACTGAATGGAAATTTCATTCTATACAGTCCGACAACCCTTGCAGCAAAAGTGACCAGCTGTACTTCCATTCCATTAGTTGTCATTTTGATGCTAGGGTTTTAGCCTGCTGTGTGTGAGATGTGACTGTACATGTGCAATTCCCATCAAAGGTAATTTTATGTGCAGTGGTGTGTAAAGTTTACCTCTAATTATGATAAGGTCACTGATGGGTCATTTATGATATGCTCTCTGGAGGCAATAGCAGCACATAACATTCGCTGCGATTCATCTGGAGGAATTAAATTGGTCTGATCACGACTCAATAGAAAATAAAAGCATCTTAGGAAATGATTCCTCATTCATGTTGATAGTTCTAAAGGAGGAACAGTATGCAGAGTGGTGAAGGTGAAGGTGCAGACCTAAGCTTTAATCTGGAATCTCTGGGCTTAGAAGATGCCACATGATCTGACCTCTGCACATCTCTTGGCTTCCAATCTTGACCTGTGTCATCTCACTAGCTGGGCTCCAGCATCACTGGCCTCCCTTTTCTAGTCCTTGCGCATGTCATGGTCATTTTTGTTTTACTCTATATAATAAAGTTTCCTGTAGCTAGGATTCTCTTCCTCCAGATTTCCACATGGCTAGAGCTTCCTTGTTTTTCCACTTTCCAGTCAGTGGGATATACAATATCCACAATCTGAACTATCCAAAGTTTCTTCTAAGAGTCCTGTTAGAAGTTCTATCAAGTAGCCAGCTCCTTACCCAGGTAATCACTGTTGCATCATCTCACTGATGTTAATGAAGTACTAATCACAGTTGAAATTATTGACAGATTATTTGTTTATAATTAAATTTGCATGCAACCATAGGGGGGAAAAATAAAGGGTGCCTTATCCTATAATCTTGAAAACCTACTGGCATTAACTATGTCACTGGTTTGATATCGCTTGATAAAATGGATTTAAAAGGATATACTAGTTAATAAATCAGGGCTAAAAACTTCTTGGAACTTTATGTAAAATAGCACAAAAACTCATGAGAAATTTCAATAAAATAGTCACTCAAGTGATTTAGATTTTACCATGATCATCATAGGCCTCCAAGAAGGAAGACTATGGTAGTCAATTTATTAGTAGTACTTTTTGACAAGGGTTATTATGTGTAATTGTGGGAAACAAAAATCTTAGATTAATGAATATTGAATTTTATACTTCTTGAAATTTACAAATATTTTGTTTTCAGTCTTCCCTCCAAAGATACTTCACTCATAGTCATAGCATGACTTTTCAAGTGGTTCATGTTCAGTGAATATTTATTACCAAATGACTGAATGGACTGAAGATCGGCCTCATGTTCTAGTCACTGAGGCAAACTGTAACAACAATAATGATCCTTACCAAAGTGTCCAGTCGTGGCCACAGTATGGCTGGACATTCCCAAGGTAGAATCCCAGAGATTGAGTGACCTCCACAAGATTGGTAAAGTCAAGACTAATGCTGTTGAATAGAACAGATGTCATGATAATTTCATCAATAGCCCATACATCTTCTCCCTGGGCAGAATGATATGGCTGCCACCATCTGAACTGAATTCCAAACTGTTTTGCATCATCTGGTAACTCCACAGAAATTATTCTAAAGAAAAAAAAAGTTAAAATTTAGATTAATTTGGCATCTTAAAATGCAAATATTGACAGAAGGATAGTTTTTTCTCTGAAGTTTAATATTAAAAATAATTTTACTGCTATAACTATTCTTTGGAGATGTCCAATTTCCTGTGTGTCTTCAACAATATCATCTAAACATATCCAAAAAATGTGACTGCACTTTCATTCATCTACTCTTGAAAAAGCTAATGCAATAAAACAGATGTTAAAGTAATAGGAGTCATACAGTCCAGTAAAGGATCTTGGGCAGCTTGTTACACATATTATAGTTTTGTTTTGGACTGGCTGGTACCATGGCATTTCTTCATTCCTGTGAATTTAGCAGAGTGTGCATAGGTCATTTGCTGTGTCATGGCAGCTTAGACAACAAACCTGTATCTAACAAATGGGGAAGAAAATTAAGAATAATATCTAATTTCAAGGAGCAATTATGGTACACAGCAGCAGTAACCACACATTAGTTGCCACTGAAAAGACAACTGCTTGAAACCTTCATAAATCACAGTTCCATGATGCTTATATCCATACACAAAGTGAGACATGCAACAAACAGCAGTGGAACATTTGTCTCCATCAGTGAACAATTAAACTATGGGAGAGATGCTTGCACTAAATGCACACTGAAGAGATCAAGGTGTTTTTTTTTCTCTTTTTTTCTTAGTGAGCAAAGAAAAACTTCCTAGGACAAGTGATAGTTGGGTAACTTAAATTATTTGAAAACTTCAAGGTCTAAGGCTGGATTTCCTGAGACGTTAGATTGGTTTTTATATCCTCATTGTGAATAAAAATGTTAAATCATACCTTAGAGATATGATTTCTTATCTACTGAAAGTTAATGAAAAATAGTATTTATTTGTACATGGCAGGAGAATATGACTATCATCATTGATCATACAAACAATTATGAACTGGTGGGATTTTCTGCAATGTGAGAAAACATTTAAATAATGAAAAATCAATATAGGAAAGACATAGCTAAGTACATTTATGGTTTTTGATACTTTTCATAATATGCTGAATTCTTTTACTAATAGAATTTATTAGAAAAGTAAAGCTTAGTTAAATTAAGTATTTTAATAATTGTCACTTTAATTTCTCAAAATATTTGTTTATTAAGTAGTTAAATAAAATGTTTATTTGTTTATTAGGAAGTTAAATAAAATGTTCAAATTATATTGAAACTAATTAAAAAATGGAGACATCGGATATTGACTTAACAATTTAATTTGGTTATCACTAAGTTATTAAATTACAATCTTCCTTATAGTAACAATTTAAAAGTCAGTTAACATTCACTCTGATGAACATAAATATAGTTTAAAAATAATAGCTGAAAATAAAATTTCCAGGCAAGTTTTAAGGAAAACAAAGTGTGTATGAATGTGGTAGCAGTATAATTAAAGTTACCAATATTTTAATGGCAGAGAAATTAAGATAGTGGGCTTGTAAATAGACTCTTGTGTTTGATTTCTTGTTCTGACAACTAATGATAAATGACTCTGCAACCTAAAAGAAAGATACTCATGTTTACTGACATCTTCATATGTGAAATTGGGATAACAATGACCCTGTGGCAAGAATCAGAGGCATTTCTGCCTGCTTCTGCTCTTGTGTCAGTAACCTAAAGCACTACCTGGCACATAGCAAGGACTCCACAAATCTTTGCTGCATGAAGCATTATCATCAGTGAGCACTACCAGAGATGTGAACACAGAGCAACAAGGTTAGCTATCTTTCCAAGGTTAGGAAGAGTCTAAGTGACAATGCCAGGTTTGGACCTAGGGAGCTTGGTTCTAGAATCTTGCTCCTAACCTCTGTATGGAATCTTGGGGCAGGGCAGTAGTTCTGCTTATTCACTATTCTGTGCATATCTGGTTAGAATAGCTGTGCAACCATTCAATTATTGCTAGATGAGAACCAGAGATTTAAGTGAACTTTTAATCGCAATCTTCCTTTGTTGGGTAGGTAGTCAGCTCATGAATTTCTTTTAGAAAATGTTTGGCTGGGTGTGGTGGCTCACACCCATAATCCTAGTGACTTGAGAGGTAGACATCAGGAGGATTGCAGTTCAAGGGGAAAAAAAAGTCATGAGACACCATCTCAACTAAAAACTCTGGGTGTGGTAGTACATGTCTTTCCTCCCAGCTATGTTGGGAAGCATAAATGGGAAGATCACATTTTAGGCTAGCCTGGGCATGAATGTAAGACCAAAGCAAAAAGGGCTGGAGGAGTGGCTCAAGAAGTAGAACATCTGCCTAGCAACACAAGGCTCTGAGTTCAAATCCCAGTACACCCCCCAAAAGTGTTGATAATTGTTTGTACTATGGAATTGGGGTGACATGATGAAACAAAGAGAAGATCAATACAATAATTCAAGGCATAAAGATAAAATAAGATTTAACTTTGTAATAATTTTTGAATGTAAAAAAATCAACAATTAAACAAAAAGCTAGAATAATTTTAGCCTCTACAGCAATGTAATATTTTACATTAATAAAGATAAAAGTTCACAGGACATTTTAGTCAACTTGAATTAGAAGACTTAGATATGGTACTAGATTTAAAATTTTATAAATAGAAACAGTTTTTTGTTGAATGAGTCATAGAAAACAAATCATTTGAAACTGTCTAGTAGTCATAGTGGTTAGCCAACTAGCATATCTCACTTATGAATCACTATTTATGAACAATTTTGGCATAAAGGAACAATACAGAATTCACAACAATTATAGACAGCAATTTATACTGAAGGAAATAGAGCAAATAGCTAAAGGCATCAAGATATATTTCACTCTTCTATGAAGAATCTCCGTGGTTCGTATTATTTATCATATAAAATATAATTTCTTATCTAGAACATATGAAATTCTACTTCTGCCATGTCATCTTTTATTAATATTTGTAAGAGAGAGGGGGAGGAAGGAAGAATGGATGAGGAAAATGTATGGCAAATGAAAGCTTTTTGTTATTACTACCATGTTCTCCTTTTTAAAAATCCCCCAGCCGGGTCTTAATCTTTCAAGCTGTGCACATACCTAATACTGAAAAGCCACCTTGATTCTGCTTAGAAGAAAAATGTTGCTGCCAATGGCAAGCAAGATTAAACACACCTTTGTAATAGCACATTAAATGTATAATTATTTTTCCTATCAACAAAGATTAATTAGACTTCATGATATAGACTGATGGTTGAATTTTTTAGCTGTTCTTGTCAGAAAAAATTGAGCTTTAGGCCAAGTTAACTTAGGATGGTAATATTTTCTGCATGATTTCATCATTATCATCATCTTGATTTTTGTTTAATTTTTTGTGATAAGAGAAGTCTATGAAACTTTCTGTAGGATTCATACTTATGAATTTAGAAAGTAGAGTTTAGTCTTACATTTTTACGTGTACAGAGAAAGTACCCAACACAGCTGATGCATTTAAAAAGTGTTTATAAATATAAAATTTAGGTCATAATAATTGCTAATGACTATCTGTATCACATGCTACTTCATTTTCTGTAAAAGTTCTCATCTACTTGCAAATAGTTAACTTTGAGAGTGTCCAAGGCAAAATTGTAAAATAGGCAAGGTGTGTGATTAGTGTCTCTCTCACTTACTTTTAAACCCTGTCTTTTCCATAGTACAACACAGACCTTGGTGATCAAAGCCTTCTTTCATATCCCATGATTGAAAGGTACTTCCCAGAAGGGAAATGGGTGTGAATGTACACCATAGTGTTGGCCTCTTCTAATGGTATTTTAACTTTATATCTTAATTTTGAAATTTCTCATCTTCTTTTTCCCTAGCTTTTTTAAAAAGGAATTTCAGTGAGTACCTTTCAAACACTTGTGAAATTTTACCACTAAATGTGGTAAAATTACTTGAAGGATGCCCCCCCCTTCAAGTAAATTTGACAACTGAGTCTATAATCAGGAAATACACAAGCTAGAGGAAAACAGAAGTAGCACAAAGAAAGGACTTCAGATATGTGCTCACATACCACCTTTGTCAGAAGGTTTTATTTGTTTCCATTACTTAACTACATTACATAAAAACTTAAAATATTCAATTTTATGAATTATTATATTACATCATTTATAAGATATTACAATATAATGTATTATTAACCACTGTTTAACAGTATTTGTATTTGGTTCCATATTAAAATCCTATCTAATATATTATAGTTGAATAAGGAAAATAGTGTTGACTATTTCTCTTTCCTAAACACCAAAATATTTCCCTTACATGCACATTTCAAAATATAAGAATAAATTTCTTTAAATTATCAAAAATCACCAGGACAATACATTAGAAGAATGTTGCTCACTAGTTATGCATTGCAAGACACATTGGCATTGATCTTTGTCCTCTCTTCTTTCAGTAGAAAAACACCTAGATTCTTGGATCTCTGAATTATGATTTCGCCAGCAAGGAGACAGCACACTAACAATTTTTCCAAATGATTTCCAACATACCTGGGCTCATGATAGTTGAGATAGGAATAGTGCTCTAGAAGTTTCCAAGTTATCCCATTATCATAAGAATAATGCAATAAAACTCCTTCGCCAGGCTGGTCAGGGGCTCTGCATGTGCTCAGAACAGACTTGCTCCCCAGCCTCAATGTGAACTGGAGAAACCTAGAAATGAATTGTCTATAATTAGTGTGTGCATAAACATTTTTATTCATAAAGTATGTTTTGGTTTTTAAAGAACTCCAAACCATTTGGAATGAACTATACAAAGCTGTAGGTTTCCACTAATCCTTTTTTTATAAAATGAAAGAAATATTACTGTGAGATGTATGAATATGTGTAGATGAGGTTGAGGTGCATATTTTATACAGAAATATCCATTAAAATGTAACTGTATGTTCATTCATATGTGTATACCATGTAGTTGTGTACATACACTTAAAATGCCAATCACTCCTTTACTGCATTATTTATTAGGCACTGGGGGAAGGGAAGATGTGGGGTAAATTTAATCAGCCTCTGCAAGCTGTCAAATAAATAAAACTACATGAATAATTAACTAGCTGTTGGCTTAGGAACACAGTTGTGATGTGAACATCTCAAGTTTTAAAAATCTAGTCGGTTATTAATATCTCAAAGTCATTGGTGAATCCTCTAATTTATCAAAAACTGGAGCAAATTAACTCTAAACAAACAGAGCTCCCTCCCATACTGGTTAAAAATGGAAAGATGTATATTATATCAGCAAAAAAAAAAAGAATATATAAATTGAAAATAGATGCAGTTTATCTGAAATCCATCTATAGTCTGTACATTTGCAACTTAAAATCTTTGCAAATCTTCACAATAATGCTTGTTAGTATCTGATTTCTGCATACATTCTGCCTGCCTTCACTCACCTGGATTGTGAGCTGTCCAGGAAGGATGTAATTAGCTGACGCCTCCCATCTTTGTTGAAAACCAGGGCCTTACCACTGGCTAAGACACCACAACCAAAGCTGACTTCAGCACCACGGATAGAGTAAAAGTTATGGTAAGAGGAGAGCCTGGAACTGCCAAAGCTTTCGGAAATAAACATGGGGAATGTCTGGGATGCCATCTCACAAGCTGGGCCAGAAAATCCAGGGTCACACCTAAAAGACACACAGTGCAATCAAATCCTTAGCTGTGGGTCCTTTCAGAGATCCTCAAATTTATTCTGGGGATGAGGAAGTCCAGAGGCCAGGATTTGATTGAAGGGCATTAGTTTTGGGAGAACACTCAATCCGAAAACTTGGTAAGGGCTGGCTAGCTGTAAATATGCTAGAACAGTCTCTGCACAGCCTACTTCAAAAAAGAGTATGATTAAAACAGTAACTCAGCACTTACCTTCAACAATACCAGCAGTTTAAAATACATCTTTGCAAAAAAAAAAAATCTTTGCAAAGGTGTATAATTATGTTCACAATAAGACTTGTGAATTTTTAAGAAGAAACAACACCAATAAATACTTCTAGTAACATATCTAAAAGAAGGACAATAGCAGAAGGACACACTACGACAGGAACTATTTTAAATACCTGGAAACTTTTGGAAAATCAGTCTATCTTTATTTCACCTAGATTGGCATTCTAGAAAGAATGCAGACACCCTTGGTCTAGGTAGAGTACTTGCAACACTGTGTTGCCTCTCCATGGGTTTCCACACTAGTGTGTTTCAAGAAAAGGTCCTTACCCCACCCCCACATCCCCAGCAACCCGCTTGCTCTGTCAGAATGGACTGTATTTATGTTAGTTGACTAGAATATTTATGGAGCCCCCAACATTTCTTTCAGTGAGTAAAATCTCATCACAGATGGATTAATAAATGAATAGCAGAAACTTCTTTTTTGGAGGATGCAACTGGGGTTTGAATTCAGGGCCTCACATTTACATTTGCTACACAGGCAGTCTATTTTTTGAGCCATGCTCCAAGTCTCTTTTGCTTTAGTTATATTTTAGGTACCACTTTTTGTCCAGCTTGGTCTGAACTGCCATCCTTCAAATACACTTAAGCTTCCTGTGTTGTTGGGATTACAGATGTGCACCACTGTGCCTAGCCATTGGTTGAGATGAGTTCTTGCTAACTTTTTGCCTAGGCTGGTCTCAAATTACCATCCTACTGATTTTCACCTTCCAAGTAGCTAAGATTACAGATGTGAGCCATTGCTTCTGGCCAGAAACATCTTATATTTGAAGGAGTCTACTCAGCAGGAATTAGATTCAAATTCTTTACTTTTATTGCAATATTTCTTTCTCACTACATTTATAATATTGCCCATTATAAAATGAAATTCATGTCTTTTTTAGGTGAGCAATTCTCAGAGAAGCATTCAAACTTCCTGAAGTCTGAAACAGCCTTTCATAAAGCAAGTGTACCAATGAAATAGTGTTATGGCATGATCAGAGTTTAGCAGTGTTATCAAAACTGGGGTCAAATCTGACCTTCTGTAGGATCCATGAAATGTGTGAACATGTTGAAATAAAATGCTAAATTTTATGTGTATTGGATTTGCTGGGGAAGGAGGGCCACTGATGAACCTGCTGATAATTCCTATCATAACATATAAATTTACCTTTGGTTACAAGAAACTTATTTTAGATATCTTATTAGAGACATCTGTGTTCCCCAACGAGACTATCTATTACCAGAGTGCATTTTGGGGTATGCATATTTTTGTGCATCATCAATGCGTCTTCTTTGGACTAGTGATTAGAAGAACTTGGTGACCATTTAGACATAAAACACACTGGATGAGTCCCCAAGTTCCTGTTTAGTGTTGCTGAAAGTCTACTTTCAGTAAAAATTATGCAATTGGGATAAGATGTTGATAAAGATTTCATTTGTATTAAAAACCAAAACCAAAACAAAACAAAAACTCCTTGGTAACTTTTGCTTTTTGAAAAACTTTGGGTTGCACACACTGGTGATTTCAGGAATGACATGAAGCTCTCCTGTCTCCAAATGTGATCCTCTACTGGTTCATTGACCTACCCTTAACTGTTCACCCTCAAAAAGCTCCCACATGGTGACACTCCTAAAGGAAGTGGCACTCCAATGCTCCCTTTCCTCATTAGCACTTCCAACAGGATTGTTGGGCTTATTAAGTTAGTGAGCTGTCAGTTTAAAAATCCAGGCCTGGGATTGGCCCACAGGCAAGAAAGCATTAGGGAGTTGGAGGGAGAGGGACCCTGGTAGAAAATAACGATAAAATAATGAGGGAGAGAGAGTGTGGAGAAAAACAAATTTGCAGAGGCCACCAAATTCAAGGATCTGCTTCAAGGAAATAAGTGGTACTGAATATAAATTTCTTTTCCATGTAGTTTTGCTCAAACTCAACAAGGCTCACATTCAGGATAAGAGAGGCAGTGTCAAATGTTTAGCCCACCTGCAAATGAACAGAGGCAATGATTATTACATTAAACACTGCCAGAACAGATAAAAATCTGATTTTCCAACTGGAAAACTCCAGAAGAGGAAAGGGCTGTGATTATTCAGGATAATTTATGATGTCAAAAAAGAATGATATAGGGCTGGGAGCATGGTTCATATTGTAGAGCTTGATGTGGCTCAAGTGGTAGAGCACTTGCCTAACAAGTGTGAGGCTCAGAATTCAAACTCTAGTACACCAAAAAAAAAAAAAAAAAAAGAGAAAAAAAAAAAAAAAGAAAAGAAAAGAATGATGCCCTAAAGCAAAAACATCTTTAATTTAGCTTGTGTTAATTTTACTTGAAATACATTGAACAAGTGTAAGGCCTTGTTATAGTTAATAAATAAAGATACCAACTTGAGGGAAAACAGTCAATGTTTCACAGAGTTAACGAGTCAGTGTTTGGGGATGGGAGTTTTATTAAAAAGCATGGAACTCCTATTCAGTTATAAAATATAAACAAACTTTTCAATACTTCGCATACTTTATAAAACATTTTCACTGTGCAGTAACCACTTTGTTAATTAAATTCATTGAAATATAGTCTTAAAAGTTAACCTCTTAATCTCATTTCAGTGCTTGCCACTGTTTGCCTATGCATATAATTTGTAAATGATCAGGTTCAAAGTCGTTTTATAAGTTCTATATTTGTTAATTAATTACCCAGTTAACTAATTACTTTTTTGTTGAAAATTTACTTGGATAACAAAGATTGCCTGGTGATATTTAGTGATAACTCAATATTATCACAGAGATGACATAATAAATGTGCCTATCCTTTCTTGGTATAAATGTAACAGTTCACTGGTGGGGATCAGCTGACAATATCAATGAAGAATTTCAGACTTCATAGGCAACATCATTGTTACATGAAATACTTTATGCTCATTTGAAGACCCAAATGATTTTCAAAAGTAAATAGGACTGAGAAGTTATGTTTAAAGATGATGAATTTTCTTATTATAACTGTTAAATTTAGCCTAGCCCAGTTTCCTGGTTTTTGCTGATTTTTAACCATTTACAAAGTTTGCTAGGAATCAAAATATGACTCATGAAAACTAGAATACATTTATGGACAGGAACGCCAACAATCAGGCTATAAGGAATTTGAATGTGTTCACAAATTTACATGAGGGATGCTAAATTTATTCACAGTTCAGTCTAACATAAATTTATTTATTAATAAACTTACACTTACAAAATACATTTAAATTACACTTAAATTCCATTTTGAGTATCCTATTTTGGGTTTTAAATATCCTCTGAAAGCCTAAAAAAGGATATTAAAGTAAGTTAAAGGAACTAGTGGCTTCAATATATAAAGTAAATATTAAAAAGGAAACATCTACATTTTATTTTCAGATGCTTACTTGCAACCATGCCGAGTGCATTGTCCTCTGCCAGAACAGAATTTGAGACACGACGGACCAATGTAAACTGCAGGAAAAAGAAAACACGTGACAGATGGTAACACAATTGGTAAAACCAAAAACATCATCAATGCAAGTTTGCAAAGCAATGCTGAGTAACAGGAATGCAGGGTGACACGCAGAGTGCTATGTGACAAGGTAAGCGCTTCGTTACAAATCTGCTGCAAATGATCCTTTCAAGATTTTAATGTTCCATACCAAAGAAAATAGGACCATATGATTTGTATTCCTTGATGGAGTCTCTTCTTTTAAAACAACTTCAAATAGAATATTACTGCTTGTTTTTAATGTCTATATAATGCTTATACTTTTTTTTAAAAATTTTTATGCTAAATCCTACTTAATATCCATCTCATAGGAATTTTCTGTTATTGAGTGGGCTTTTCTACAATACTTTTATTCTTTAGACAGAAAAAAAGTATTTACAAAGGATCAATTTGATATACCACAAAATGGAGAGGACATAACTATAATTTCATTCTTATCTGGAGAAAATCTACAACACTATAAATAATCATCACACATATTTGTAAATATTAATTCATCCTCTGGAAACGTGGAATTAAGAATTTGTTGTTAAGCATAAAACTTCTTTATAATGAAGTTTTTTTTTCCCCTCTATACTGGGCTTGACTGACAATGTAATGCTACAAACTGAAATTTTCTTCTTTGGAATGCTGAAAAAGGCTCGAGAGGTATGATCTGAGATACTCAGACCCCAATACATTTATAATCAGTATGATCAATAACACATGAAATAGTCTAAATGTGGGACAAAACCAATTAATATTAGCAATGCAGTGATTATTAAGATCTCACTATTCAATTTCAAGCCTGAAGAAATTTACCATCAATTATCACCTTCTTCTCTGTGCTGTAATCATGACAAAGTATTTAAACAATTGTAACTTAAACTTTCCTGTGGCCTGGGGCTCCTGGGAGCACATAATCCCTGGAGCCAGTTGATAGGAGCAGCACTTCAAATGCAAGCACAGCAGAAGAGGTTAGACAGCAGGTTGTTAAAGGTATCAGTTTTAGGTGTTAGATAATTCTGGATTTGCATTCTGGCATCACCTAGGAAACTTTGGATAAGTGATTTATTCTGTCTAACCCTCAGTGTCCTCATTCTTTAGAGTGGGATAATAATATTCCTTGGAAGAAAGAGGAAATAAAATGTTTCATGCTTATTGTGGTGTCTGGCACTGTGTGGTTGTAATCATGATTACCATACTGGAGGCCGGTATCCATCGCTACCCTCCCACCCTATTGTTTCTGGGGGCTCCTCTGTACACCAGGTGCTGAAGGGGGCTCCATTTAGCCTGGAAAAACTTGAATTGTCTCTAGCACACTTGATTTTATCCCTGAAGGAGGATCTGCTCTTGGTCCTGTAAGAGGTAGATTGCACTCTATAGGGTTACTCTGGAGGTTGCCCTGTGGTGCATTTACATGTAATCCAAAAAGCCTTCATCCACAAAAAAGGCTCGGGATGTAGTTCAGTGACAGAGCACTTTCCTAACATTCATGAAGCTCTAGGTTAAAATCCCACAGAACAAAAATTCAACAATCACATAACCTCTTTCAAGTTATGAAAAAAATTCAAAGTTAGAACTTTGTCATCCCCTAAAAAAAAGAATGACATGAATGTAAAATGGGGACTTCTTTGGGGGTGGGGTAACAAACGGGGCGGGGAGGGAAAGGCAAAATGACAGGGTGATGGAAGAGTCAATATGTCTTAAGTGCTTCATATGCATGCATGCGAATAGAATAATGAAACCCATTAAAATTAAAAGGGGAGAGAGAAGGGATAAGAAAAATTAATGGAGGGGATAAATTTGAACAAAGTACATTATATGTATATGTGGAAATATCACAATGAAACTCATTTGTACAATTAATATGCACTAATAAAAATGCAGTTAATATACACATACACAAAGAATTTAGTTATCCCTTTCTAGTAACAATGGGGTTATCAGGACCTATATGAGTAAGTTTACAGAATCCTTTTTCCTAAGGGCAAAGAAGTACAGATTTGCTTTCTTCATTCTTATCATTAATATAACATAGTTGGAAAAATAAAAATATGACAAAAACATAACTTTCCTTAGGATTTTCCATTCTGTTAAGATTTTTAGGATAATATCCAAAGTATTTTACTTACACACTAGCAGGAGTTGACTGTTCTTTGAAAAACATATCCAACAGACTTATGATGTTGACCTGTATTTTTTCCCTCTATATTTCTTTTTCCTGATGTAATTCTGGATAATGAAATGGGGGAAGACTTTAGGGATATCCATTAGCACACATTTCTCTTAGGAAGAACTGAGCAGGTGTTCTCTTTCTGTCTTGTGAAGAAGCCAGGGACTGGATCCTGTCCTTGTGAAGGCCTCACATGGGATGGTAAAAGAAATGAAGAGATTCTGCCCTAGGTTTTGCATCCACACTGCTAGCCAGGCACATTCTATCTATCTGAACTTTTTCCTATTGTACTCAAAGCATGATGGCAGAAACTCAGAGGTGTGTAGTAAACATTTGCTGGCTCCAAATTGTGTCGCAATAGTCTTGTCTAGGAAATTAAGATAGGTTTTCATAGGTTCATATGTGCTTCATTGTACTCTTAGTTTCCTCATATATTTCATTCCATTATTAGGCTTTTTGTGATTATTAAGTTTATAAAGGTGAATTTCAGGATTCTTGAAAAGTATGTCAGCAGGAAAAATACATTTATAACCCACTACACAGAGGTACATAGTTATTCCCTAGGGTTTATTAGTAGGTACAAAAATTGAAATGCTATGCAAAATATTCTACTGATGGAGAAACTCCATTTAATATCTGTAACTCATGTGGCCTTTGACATGGGGACCTTTTATGAATCTTGAACACAGATTGTTTAAAGAATTCATATTGGCTTATGGGTAAATTGTCTTAGCTGAAGTTATTCTCAAATTTTAAGAACTTTATGTAATCAGTTTCTCAATTCTAAATTATTAAAAGTAACAAAAGAAGTTTAAGACATGGGAAATCAGCATTAAACAATCGTGTAATTGTCCACAAATCAGTGGCTAGGCTAAATTTGCTTAAATATTGACATTTTGTCCTTCCAGATTCCTTCCTCTTTATAGCCTTGTAATATAAACCTTCAGTCAAATGTATATACTCTGAAGTAAGACATCTATGAATCTATCTGTAAACTAAAATAAAAAAAAAAAACAAAACGAGTTGGCTATTGATAACAACCATAAGAAATTTACAGCCATGTAACCCACAGCTTAAAGTAACTTCTCTCATATCCTAAGTGATAGTAGCTTCAAAAAAAGATGCAAAAATGATCAATAATTCACTTTAATTTCATGCAAACCCAAATATTTCTTTTACACAATTTTCTAGAAAGGAGGTAGAAGTTTCACTAGTATCTTAGAGCTGATGTTCCCTTCTGTATAGCGTTTGCAACTAAAAGATAAGTCTTCCAGATGTGGCAGTTACTAAGAAGAATGGGTCTTATTTTAATATATGCAGGATGGTACTTATGTTAATTTTGCACACACATTCAAAGAAAATGTTAGGATATCCCTTGTCATCAACTGTGAATTTGAGTTTCAAGGCTTTAAGCATCTTTAAATTATGTATGTTGAAACATTCTAGCATCTAATATTGCTGACTGCACTGCACAGCCCACCCCACCCCCCACTTTTTTTTCTGATTGCGCATTCCTGGGCTTCTATGGGAATGCAAAGGAGAAAAGGAAGAAAGGGCGTTTAATGAATTGCAAGACCATGACTTAGAAATGTGATTAAGTCTGTGCTGACTAACAAAAGCACAGGAAGCCTCTGCATCAATGGCATTGATTATGACAGGCATAAACACTTACCATTATCAATTGCCCACATGTTTCCAAGGATTGGTCCCGTTTGTCTCCAGCGAATCCTGGTGTCTCGTGTTAGTGCTGCATTGGGTAGGGGAATTGTTATTCGGTTCCACCTGCAAGAAATGTAGCATTAAAATCAGTCTTAGAACTATGTTTGCATCTTTTGAATCTGTTTTTCATGCTTGTGATGTTCCCATTTCTGTGTGCTTATAGTAGTACTAAAGTTTGTTAAGTCTTCACATTCACCTGTGGAATTGGTTTCTAGTTTTAAAACAGACATGTAACTTGAAAGAATATTCATATCATGCTAAAGTAGGGGATTTGTTCTATATAGCATAAATTAATATGTTTTCAGTCATTCTTTTTAGAATTGTTTCAGTTTATTAAATTTACTGTTAACTGATACATAAAACATAAAAGCTACATATTGATTAGGGGCCATGATGTGTTTTGATAACACAGGATTGTGTAATGTTTAAATCAGGTTTTATATTGATACTCAGACCTTAGGTATTATCCCAGAGAAAGCATCTATGCAGAGATGGGGTATAGCATCAACTACTTTTTAATTTTCTGCTGCCCTCTAGCCCTGTACACATTTCAAGAATGGCTAAGAAAGAAGACAATTCCTAACTTAATTTTGCTGTCCTTGTAAATATTTTTACTGTGTATACAGTGCTTAGTCTATAAAGTGACAAGCATTTTACTTATCTTTAATTTTATAACAGTCCCCAAAGCAGTATATTATTGGCCTTAATTCATGTGGAAAGAAGTGGAAGGTTAGCTAGCATAAATATCATTACACATCATAGCAGATAGCAAAACAAGATCTGAATCCAGGTCTAATTCCAAAAGGTGGCTTTCCTCTACTTCTCTCTGGTGGCTCTTTTCATAACTCTATAGTTTGGAAATAAGGTGTTTTTTTTTTTTTTTTTTTTTAAAGCCATAACCATGGGGTAGCCATACAAATTTTAAATTCATGTAATCCAAAATATGTCAAATACCTAAGAATTAATGACCTCATAAACTGCGATTGTGATTGTACTTCAGATCTAGCAAAATTATTTTTTCCTTTTTTCTCCCCCTCCCTTTTTTTTTTAAGAATACCACTCTTACGGAGAGTTTCCTCATGTATTATGCAAAAAATGTTAGTCTCAGGATTACTTATTGCTTTTCATTCCTCAATATAGGTTCAAGTCTTTTGACATTTTGGAGGGAGTTTACTCACCCACTGTAGTTTTCTGAAGAGTAGATGGTGCTGTGTGGGAGGTGGGGGCCAGCACAGATCTCAGGCAAGCACTCAGTGTGGAGGAGGGACCAGGAACGCCCATGGTTTGTAGAAAACTCTAAGCTGACACTAATAATATTGGAACAAGCACAATGAAAGAGGGGGCAAATATAACAAATAATTGTTTTTCATCTCTGGATAAATACATCAAATATCTGTCGAACTAGTGTGAAATTTCTTTAAGAGGCTGTTTCCTAAATGATTGTTTTCTCTTTCACTGAAGTCTGACCAGCCTCCAAAGGGCAAGCTGTTAAATTACTGCTATAAAAACAAACTATGTTTGAAAGACAACAAATGGTAACTTGGAGTTTGTACTCTGAATTTGATAGATGGCAAGGCAATTACCATATCTCACACTGTCACTTCATCCTGTGAATGTGAGACAAAAAAAATTCTTAGAAAGAATCTGAGCAACACTTGAGAGAGTGAAACCAAGAAGTCATAGCTCAGGAAGTGCTAATTGATTTCCTTGCCTATTATTAGGGAGTCACTAGACAACATGAGGTCAAGCTTTTTGCTTTTTTTTTTTTAGCATTTGTTTTTCTTCTCTCTCAGCAATCTGTTGTAGTAGATAGCTACCACTGAATGTGCAAACACCTCTGGTACCTAAGATTAAGCTGTCAGGATAAAGCAATTTCTACTTAAAAATCTACCAAATTGTACCCTGTATATTAATTAAAAATTTTTTCTTTTGGGGAAAATATGTAAATTATTAATAGATTTTTATTAAAAGTTTAACTAAAATCCTACTGAGAATCTCTCTCTCATTTAATAGTAAGTTCATGTGCTCATTTGTAATTACTATACTCAACTAAATAGGTTTTCCTACCTGTTACCAGGTTGATGTGTTCCACATCCCAGATTAATAGAAAACTGTATCATGTGAGACATTGTAGAAGGCAGAACAGGCAAGACATGGAAAAAGTCTACAGCCCACACATTCCTATTATGTCCTTGATGGTTCTTTTGCCTGAGGCAAAATTTGGTGGCAGGAGTCTGAAGTTCAGGATTGATGACCACAGAAACCAAAGACGGAACCTTCCAAACAAAGGAAACCAAAATCACTCATAATCCTTCCCAGATTAGTCAGTGTGAGCGTCCCTTGATTCTGTTTAACAGTCATCAAATGCATATCTGTCTTTTGTTGACCGTCAGGCAATGGCCCTGTGTTCCATTTGTTCTTTCATGCAGACGATGCTGTCCTAACAGAGCATTTGTTTAGTGACTGAATCTTCCTTTGCAGGTGGGTGGGACTCCTGTGTGTGACTGGAGATAAGTTGGTCTAGGGTCTTTAAAGGCAATCAAAGTATGTGCATTCATTATTTCTATCTTAGCACAAGTAAGGCAACCAACTTGACACTTACTTGACTTTATCATCAGTACTTTTCGGAGTGGATTTGTATAGTATTAATATTTTTCCAAACTAGGCATTTTGAAAATAGGACTCTTAAGCAGTAACAGCTAGAGCCAATGAGTTAATGCATGATAACTTTTATAACTGCTTTGGTCTGAGGCATGCAGATGACCAGAGCAGCTGGAAAAGTATTCCACCATAAAACTATGAAATCCCAAGTGGTACAACTCGGGTTACCCTTTGATTGTACAGCTTACTGGGTATTTTCTCTAGTTGTTTCCTATGGTTGAGCTCTTTTTTTAGTTCTTCTTCTTTTTTGGTGGTACTAGGGTCTGAACTCAGGGCTTCACACTTCCTGGGCAGCCTCTCTACTTCTTGAGCTATGCCCCCAGTGCTTTTTGCTCTGGTTGTTTTGAAGATAGGGCTTCCAGGCTGACATGGACTGTGATCTTCCTTTTTTAGGTTTCCCACCATAGCTGGGATGATGGGTGTGTAGCACCATACCCAGCATTTTCCGCTGAGTTGGAATCTGACAAATTTTTTTGCCTGGGCTGGCCTGGAACACCCATCCTCCTAATCTCAGCCTTCTATATAGTTTGGGATGACAGGTACACATCACTGTGCCTAGATATTGGTTGAGATGGGGTCTTGCTAACTTTTTGCCCAGGTAGCCTAGAACCATGATCCTGATCTCAGCCTACCAAGTAGCTAGGACTACAGGTATGGGCCACAACTGCCCAGCTATGTGTTTAAGCTATTTAAGTACCTATAGGTGTCATCAATGGGGTGGGAAAGCTAACAATGAGTGTGTGGGTACAGTCTCAGCACAGATAAATCTATAAAAATAAAAATAAATTTTCACATTATAAAAAGCAATTCACATAATTTTGAAGGTGTTTTCAGATAGCCAGAGATAACACCTGTCCTACATCCAAAGGACAAAGGGAAAAAGTCAACTTCAGTAGCTCTAATTAGCAAAGAAAAAAGAAGTGATAATAATTTGTACTGGTACAATGTCTTCTGTCTCAGAGATCTCAAAGAAAGATCTCAAAGAGAGATCTCAAAGACAATACTCATTAGGTCTGATAGCAGGGTGGTGAGGCTACACAATTGGAATCACTTTTAGAGCTTTCTTGGGGGATAAAAGTCACTGCTAGTCAGAGTACTGGGTTCTGCTTTATTGTTGCTGATAAACTGTAATTCATTCTTCTTAACAAAACCTGAGCTTTCATTTGTATCAGAAATAAAAGTGAATGTTCAAATGTGCAAGTCACTTAAAAAAAAAAAACTGGCAATTTCCTAGGCTGCCAGAAAAGAGATTTATCCTCTGCATCTGGCATGGTTTTCATGGTCTTTGGCTTGTCTTGGGAGTTCTAAGATGGGCCATTTTGGCACAAGGATTGACATCTGTACCTTGTATGAGGAATAGGAAAGGGTGTCTAGTACGATGTGCTCTTTTCTTCCTTCAATCTTTGCATACAAGATGATATCATTTTCATGAGAATCTCCAGGATCACATATTCCTCCTGTAGCAAACAAAAATTTGATGTTGTTAATACCAACTTGTGTTAAAAAATAGCAAATATAGTCTTAAAATCAGAATAATAAATTATTATAGTATCCGATGTCCTGTTAGAATAATCCTAAACAAAGATAACTAGGACCAAGGAAGTAATTTATGAAGATAGTTCATGTGGGTCATGCTGAAGGTCAGAAGACTTGACATTTGTGAAGGCCAAAGTAACTGTTTGCTTGGTGGGATCATTCAAATAATAATCTGTGTTGAGTAGTGACTACATGATCATACTTCAACCCACATTAAACAGACGTGCTCTACATTTTTTTTTTTTTGATACTGGGGTTTGAACTCAAGGCCTCATGCTTGCTAGAAAGGTGCCCTTCCACTGGAGCATGCCCCCAGCCCTTTGGACTTTTAGTTATTTTTCAGGTAGGGTCTCACCTTTTTTTGTGCAGGCAGGTGTGGACTGTGATCCTCCTACTTGTGTCTTGTGTGTGCTTGGAATGACAGGTGTATACCACCATCCCTGCCTTTGTTGTTGAGATGGGGCCACCTTAACTTTTTGCCCCAGCTGGCCTCAAATTGAGATCCTACCAATCTCTGTCTCCTCAGTAGCTGGGGATACAGGTGTAAGCCACGGGGCCTGGCTTGATTTGTAATAAACCACTACTTCCTTATATTTGAAGTCTTTAAGGCCAAAGTTCAGAATCTACTTATTATGGTTTTGAAACAAGTTTGGTGACTCACTGCATCAAGGACTTCTGAAGCAGTGCCATCCAAACTGTTGAAAGTAGTATCTACAGTATTTTAGCACATGTATTTGTATTTTAAATGCAGTTCATTTTACATTTTCATTTTTATATTTGGTGCTTCATTTAATTATTGGAAAGCATGCAGTTCACGCCCTATCACATGACTTTGCTGTCATGTGACATGATACACAATTAGAACTGAAAGGTAAGTATAATTATCCTGGTGATGGTATTGAGTAACAGAGCAGGTACCTGGACTTCAAGATCATTTAACTCCTGGTGGAAGAGCCAGGAGTAGATGTTGTATATCTTTTAAGCACTGATCCTCTATTCTTTTCACTACTGTACTTGGTCAGTATTTCTTATTATTTCTGGCTCCTATCAGATGTCTGCATAACCTGAAGTTTAAAGGGTGACATGTCTAACTAGAAGTCTCACCATTATCCTTAAAAACAACCATCAACTATAGCAATAGGAGTGTGGATATATACAGGCATTTCCTAAAAAGTATTCTATTCCTAAGCATATAACATAAATTTTTCACTTATTATCTTTCTATAATTCTTCAGTTCTTAAATCAACCACTATCAATTACTATTGCTAACACTCTATGGTGCCAGTAAGGCAAACCCAAACTCTAGAATAAGGTTACCCTTTGAGAGTTAATTTAGTAAAATGAACAAATAATGGTTCAGATACCATCCAAAATTAATTAAACAAAAAACTGGCAATTGTTTATAAATGTCAGGTTTAAACTCAATCTGGGTAATTGAGTCTGATCTTGAAAAGAAATGACTGACAAAGGATGTTAAGTAAGAAAGCTAGATAGAACTTAATCAGTACAAGAAATGTCATAATAACAGAAGGAATATTAGCCAAAAAAGGAGGCTATCACAAAGAAAGATTTTGATGAATGTCCATACACTAGACAGGAAGAGAGGGAGTTCTTAGTAAGTTAAGTCTTGGGGATTCATTTAGTAAAATGTATACTGCAATGAAAAAGGACATATCAAATTAACATAGTTCTGGAATCCTTGCCATTAAAATGACTGGGCAACAGATATATCTGATCTGATTCTATAAACACTGACTTTTCCTTCATATATAGCAGTTAAAATTTTCACAGCCAATTGGTGAGAACTGAGATTTGTCCATAAGGCTCTTTTGAGGTGAGAGCATGAGCCAGTACCCAAGGACCCACTTCTGCAGTCATTAAAAAATTAGCTGAATATATGAACCTGAGATCTGCATGGTTGACCATAATAACCCCATGAAGTTCACCTGCAAAGCCCATCCAGCTTGGCAAGCTGTCTTATTTATATGCCATCCTTATTTCATCTTCTTAAATGCAACAATTTCCAATAATCTAAATGAATAATATAATAGATGACTTATGTTTGGCTTTGGAAGTAATCTATTAAAATTATATTGTACAAATTCTCTCAATTGAAGTCTCCTTGATTAATTCTAAAATTATTGGGCACATCTAAGCAACACCACTGGAAGCAACTCAAGAAGTTAGCTTGATGTCAGAGAAACCAGTTGTCTGACTTGAACAATGAAGCTCCTTGAAGACAATCTGCAGAGGAATAGAGGATTCTGGGAGTGAGCTTGCTATTAGAGTAAGAGCTGAGCCAGGGAAGGAGAAAGTTCAGAACACATTCTCACTCTACTGCTATGTTCCTTGAGCTGATCAGGCAGTAGTAAGTTACAGGATGGAGCTGTGGGAAATCAGCTTCCACATTTGGTGGGAAAGTGTTTGGGAACAGATTGAATATTCTAGTTCTTGTCACACTGAATTTATATTTAAGTCACTTACAAGAAAATCTGCCTGATACCTTACTCTATTCTCAAGGAAATTTAAACCTTTTCAGTTTCACAAAGAATTGATGTTGCAAGTGGTGGGAGGTATTGTCTGTACCAGGGTTTCTTTGGGGCCAGACTTAGAGTAATAATAATACTAGAGTAATATACCTACTTTTTACTGAGTACTTACTATGTGCCATGCATCAAGTACAATTAAATATAAGTATTATCCTTTTCATTTCATAGCAGTATCTTCACTAATTATTAATATGTATGACTTTGCTGAGTGAAACTGTGGCCAAGAAAGGTTATAAAAAAATAAAGTCTGCATTTAACGTTACCCTGTTTTATTTCAAACTTACGCTATTACTCAGTAGGGAAGTCTTGGATGATGACATTTGTAAAACCCTGACACTTGGCATGTTACATATGTTGGGCACATGTAAACTGATACATAATTAGTATTTACTGGATTAAATAATCTGAAGAAGCCAGATATCATGATAATATAAATTTTATTCCAATGGATATTTCTTGCTCAAGATCAACAACCTGTGGAGAAAAATCTTACATTTTTGACATTTATACCATGTTTTTCAGCATTTCATCACATATTTTAGTCGAATGATTAAACAGTTAGCAAAGTCATTGTAAATGATTGTCTCTGGGGGGGTGAGGGGAAGATCCACATGAAAACAAAATTCCTTTTTTGGAAATAAATTTTTTTGAGTATTGAGCACATATTAAAAAGGTGAAAAGTCGCAGGCAGTGCAGGTTTAGTGCACATACTTAAAGACATAGAACCTGAATATCAATTTGCTATAATTTCATTATCTTGTTCCCTGTACCCTCTCTGCTCTCCTAAGAGCAGTCCATGAACTGCATCTGCTTTTCAGAGAGAACAGAAAAACATGTGGGAGCTTGTCCCAGCCCAGAATGACAGAAGAAGAAAGTCCAAAAGGAGCCAAGATGTTAAAATGATGACAAGACTTTATCTGAACAATCCCTCTGGGGGCAATTTATCAGTTCTGTGAAGTTTCAGTGACAGCAACTCCTACAGGAAGAGATGGATTCTTGCTTAGCTACACAGCCTTTGATGCTCTGTGGAAAGGAGGACTCGGGCATCTTGCACAGCAATTAACGTACAGAGAGATTTCAATCTAGCTAGGTGGATGGCCAGCTTTAAAGTATTTTAAACACTGTTTAAAGTAGTTTTTAAAGAAACTTCCTTATATCAGAAAGGTAATTCTTTTGAACTTTTACTATCTGGGTGCATTGGGCTAGAAGAGGAAATACATTTTGACCTCAAAAAGTTTGTAAATGAATGAGAAAAACAAGACTAATATATAGCAGTCCTCCCGATCTGAAGTTTGGCTTTTCCCAGTTTGTTATCCAGGGCAATCCACAGTCCAAAAATATCAATACGTCTTGACTCTTTTGAGAGAGGGAGAGAGACTGCATTCACATACTTCAGTTGTAGTTTGTATTGTAACCATTCTATTTTATTATTAGTTATTATTGTTAATCTCATAATGTGCCTGATTCATAAACCAAACTTTATCAGTATACATGTACAGGAAGAAAACAGTATATAAAGGGTACAGCACTGTGGTTTCAGGCATGTACTGGAAATCATGAAACATATTTGCCATTGATAATAAGCAGGGCTATTTACATGAAATAATGATAATTACAGAAAACTGTATGTGCTACCATAATTGAGTAAAAATTGAGATGAAAGCAGTATGAGTGAGATAAATGAGCTGGGCACATACCAGATTCAGAGTAAACATTTGTTGGAGGAATAATAGATAAATTATAGAATGAATGATATCTATTAGGCTATTTTTGTCTTGTTCACTGCATTCTGGCTCTTAAAACACTGCTGGATACTGGTCCTCAATGAATTTGTATTGAATTTATGAATAAAGGAAATAGACTTTTAAATAAATTTTGAAAGTTGAATAAGTCTTCCAGAAATTGCAGCACAGAAAACTAATAGGAGCTAAGGTCGGAACATATCATAGACAGGGCTTGAGAGGAAAGGAGTATGATATAGTTTAGATTAATAATTAACCACTGATTTTCCTAAGGTACCATATTTAAAGAGGGTTTACTTGTAAACTATCTTATCTTAAATTCCTTCCCATATTGCTTCCTCCCCCCACCAACCATCAAAGTGTTAAAGGTTTTTCTATAGGTCCAGTCTCATTCTGCCCTACCTTACCTTACCCTGCCTTACTGTATCCTAACCTATCTCATCGCATCCTATCCTATAAAACACCTTTCCTACAAGCTGCTATTTCCTCAAGATCCAGCCCCCATCTATTTTCTTTTCTATACTTATAAAATTCTTGAGGGAGCTATCTTGTTTCAGTGATACATCTTCGTTGTTAACTTCATGTACTTTTGCTGCCCGGGCATTACACATGGTGAATGACTTCTCAAAAGTCACTGGTAGCCTCTCAGTCCTTATCCTGATTGGCCTGTCTCTCTGAGACTTCCCTACACTGCAGATCACCTCCCTGTCATTCCTCCTTGTTCACTGTCAAATGACATCTCTCTTCCATCTCCCTTTATATTCTTCCTCAGTTTCCTTTGCCTGCTCTTTCTACTACCTACAGCTGGATGACAGTTCCCCTTGAGAGTTTTGTGTGTCTTAGGTTACCTTCTGCTTGGGAGAACACAGCAACCCCAATGGCTCCACCTATCACCTGTATGTTGATGATTTCCAAGTGATATTCTACCTGAATATGGTGCTCTATAAACCTCAGTTTTAACATATCTATTATTAAAATATTCTCCTCACTTGACTCATTTTCTGGGACATTCTCCTATTTCAAGAGAAATCTGGGTCCTCCCCAATATTGTTCCCATAGCCTCTTACAGCTAACTGGGTGCCACATTTAGTTAGTTCTGTCTCTTCACTTATCCCATCTTTGTCTCCTCCTTTCCATTACCACAACTGGTATTTTGATCCTTTTGTTGCTTGGACTCATGCAATAGCCTCCCAAATTAGGGTTGCCAGATAAAATGCACTGCATGCAAAAATTTCATACAAAAATTACTGTTTATCAGTAATACAAGTTTAACTGGGCTATTCTCTTCTTTATTTTCATCCTTTTTTTGTAAAATCTTACAACTCTGTCCTAACTAGTCTCTTGTCCTCTAACTTCTGATTGTTTCAGACTTTCGTTCACATTCCTGTATAATTATCTTACTAAAGGTTATAGAACAAACAGAAATCCTCTGGTACTTCATGCTAACTCCTTAGTATGGGATTAAAGAAAATCACTACTCTGATTCACTTTTCTAACTCCATCTTACATGCTTCTATTCATCTATATTGGGAAAATCATCCAGCCCCAAACATGTATTTTTTATTTTTGTGCCCTTTTTTTTCAGAATGGCTTAGCCAGGAATTCTCTCCACCCTTTACATATAAATCATGTCTAGCCTTCAAGGCTGAGTTCAAATGCCATTTGCTTTATGAAGCTTTGGCCTTTTCCTTCCACTGCAATTGCTCACAGTTTTCTCTGAACTTCGATAGCACTGTCATTCCATTACAGCACACTGCTCCTCCTTTACACAGAGTCACATGTTACTTGTGGGTAGGGGCTTTTCTAAGTAATTTTATATCGATAACAACAGAGATGCATGAGCCTAACTAGTTATTAGGTGCCGTTGGAGCAATTACATATATTAACTCATTTAACCATAACTCTGAGTTAGGTGGTATTATTCTCCCCAACTGCGTTTTCCATGTATTCTAGCTTAGAGCTCTATATTCAATTGGAATTTCTTACCTTTTTTATTTAATTGATATTTAATTTAATTTAATATTAGGATATTTAATTGATACCCTAATTTTATTTAGGATAGTGTACTTCTTTGGACTCATTCAAAATATTTTTTCTGCATAGTCGATACTGGTTTATTTCATTGAGTAACAAATCTGCTTTGTTACAGCAGAATGAATTAAAGATGACTTAGTATTTCATATATAAATACTTATATATAGGAATTAATACAATGATGACTTACTTAATCTTGTCATCATTTATTATGAATAAAATTAAGAGTTTACTATGAATAAAATCAAGAGTTCAAATATATTATGCCAAAATAGTAAATAAAGGAAAAACAAATTAGACTAACATATTAAATGCTTATTACAACTTTTTTCTTTGCTTCAAGTTTCCAGGAATCACTTGTGATAAAAGAGGGACTGTTTGAATATTGATTATATAAAGGAAATGAGCTTTGAGCTCATTTTTTTTTTCCTTTTCTTCTTTTTTGATCCCCGCTGTACTGGGGGTTGAACTCAGGGCTTCATGCTTGCTATGCAGGTGGTCTACCACTTGAGCCACTCTGCCAGCCTCAGCTTTGGACTCATTTAAAAACCCAAACAATTTTGGAGTCAGGGTAAGGATACTTTCAAATGTGAGACTACATTATTTTATATCTACTCTCTGTTATTATTGTGAGTTAGCATCACACAGGCAGTTTACCATGCAACCCTGAGCTGTATGATTATCTCAGGAGAACTGTTTGTCCTGATGAACTGACATTTTTGCTGGTAAGTTCAAAGGCAGACAGTGTTTGTTTCCTGCTTCACTTCCAGATGTTGCCTGGGCTTTTCCACTCAACAAAGAAGGCATGTGACACCTACTCACATTTCTGAGATGACATCAGTGAAAGAATATGTCACTGTGGCTCTTGTTGACTAGGAGGACAAATTTGTAAAGTCACAAATTTCAACCTACTAATTCATCTTTGGGTATTTTTCCAACTTCATTTGTTCTACAATAAATCTGAAGAAAAATACACTTTATGAATAATTCTTTATGTGTTTGCAAACATAAGAGAAAGTAGAAAGAGCTATAAACTTGTTTCTTTCTCAGCTTCCCAGAGTAAGAGTTAGGCAATGGTGAGATAGCCATGAAAACAAATGACTACTTACCTTGATGACTATTTGGTAGGGTTTTAGGCTTTGGACAAAAAAGTCACTTTGCTCTTAGTTTCTCTCCTTTTGTCTTTTAGTTATAACCATAGAGAGAGGCAGAAGGATGGTGTTACAACTTTTTTCTTCCAGTCTAGCCACGACATGCCAAGACTAGCCCTCTATAAGATGATGCTAACAGGGTTGGCCAGTGGTCATGAGCACCACAGGCATTTGCTCAGTCAGGAGTGCTCAGATTCCATGAATTTTCTTTTTATATGGCAGATAATAAATAATATTACTTTCTCAGGAGTAGGTACTAGCCTAGCATCTGCTTTAGAGTAAACAAAAATTGCTCAAAATATACCTACCCATAATGAAGTAAAACCTCAGGTTCCCATAGCCAGTAGTGTCCATGTATGGAGTGCATAATTTTCTCTCTCCATCTTTGAGGAAGACCATTGATAAACCTGATTCTATCGTTCCACATTCTGTACCAATGACAGCTCCTAAGATGTCCCATCTTTAAAAAAATGAGAATCATTAAGAGTTAGACTATTAAGGCAAAGCTTTATAAGCATAACATTTTGTTTTTAACAAAGAACATTTACTTAGTAATGAATAATTCTGAAATAAAGATATGGTACTGTAGATTTTAAGCAATGAACAAACTTTAAAAATATTCCATTCACAGTTATGGTTCTGTAGTTAGAGAAGTTTAATCAATATTATATCTATTGCATGACCAGAGCCATGTTCTAGACTGAGACAGTCTTTATTTTTAAAGTACTTATAGTTGAATTGGGGAATAAAATTTGAACTAAGGAAACAGTGAACCATAGAAGACAGTATCAAATATAAATACCTGTATGGTGTTTTGCATATTAAAAATAGTTGTATAATAAAAAGCCATAGATCTAGGAGAAGTCTAGCAAGTTTTATAAAAGGAGATGGTATTTAAATTGGGTCTTGTAAGAAAGGTATTTGGATGTGTAGAAGAGAATTAAAACAGTTAATTTCTAGTTAGTGCTAACTTATGTGCTAGATCCTTTTGTAGACAATTTACACATTAAGCTTTCTTCTTGCAGGAATCCTAGAAAACAGTATTCCTATTCTAATTTTAGAGGAAGAGACTGAGCTACACAGAGATTAAGGACAGAGAACAAAGGATGGGGACCATACTCAAATGCATGCAGTCTGACTCCAGAGCCTGTCCTTGACTTCAGTCATATACTGTATTTGCGGTTGAAGTAGTGTCAGAGAACTGACTATAGGCTAAAACTGAGTATGACCTGGACACTATTACCAGTGCATAATATCACTAGACCTTTGTGGGGGTTGTGTGTCAGGGAGTAGTAAAAATTCATCTGAACAATAAAAGAAATTGGGATTAACCCGTAGGGAGCTGGAAAGAGGAGTTTATTCAGTAAACACTCAGGGTGATATATCTAAAATGGAAATATGATTATGTCATTCTTTTGCTTAAGGTCTTTCAGTGGCTCCCATTGCTACCTGGACAAATTCCAAACTTCTTAATGTAGAATTTAAGTTCCTTCTTGTCCTGGCCCAAAAACAGATTTCTGGCCCCAATTCTCTGGCTTCTCCATGTCTCATACTAATCTATGGCTATATAATGTGGATTTAAAGTTAATAAAATATTCTCTGTCAGGCCTCTGTAGCTTTACTCTTTGTCTACTGAACAATCTCAGAGTCATTCTCCAAAATGTTATTTAAGTAAAATACATCCTTCCTTAAAGCCTTTCCCAGACTCCCTCCCTGCTCCTAGACAACCCACCACTCCATCTCAGACTGAGATCCTTCTTTTGTGATGCTGTTTCTCACTGTACATTGCTATTATTTCTTTGTATGTCTTTCTTTATCCCTGACATGACAACTCTTACTTTTGCTGTGATATCTAGCCAGTACCCGATACCCAGTAGAAAATATTTTTGTTGAACAATGGAGGCATTAAAGGAAGTGTATGAAACCTAATTCAGTGCCCTTCCTGGATCCCATCTTCACTTTGCTTGACTTTCTCTAGCCTCATCTTGCCCAATCCTGTGAGACAATTTGTACTCTTGGCACAGCAGGAATGCAGTCCATTCTGCCCTAAGCACACCCCATTCCCACCCCACAAAGTCTCCCTGGATCTAACCTTAATGCCTGGTGTCACTGTGGCTGCCCAGCTTTGTCCTCAGGACTCCTTCCTCCTTAATGTCACAGCTCCAACGATCAGACTTGTCTGTCCCTCAGCTCTCACTAAACCATCTAGACACAAGTCCTATATGACTTCCTGGGCTTTCCCTTCTCTATTGGCCCTGGCTCTGGGCACATACTTTAAATGTCTGATATATTCAGAGAGGTCTTCGGTTTCACATCTCTTTTCAAGACTCACAGGCTTAAATGAATGGGTTTATATAGTATCTTCACCTTTCTGCCTCCCCCAACTCATAATCTTTCTTCTCCCCTTACAAATCTGCCTGATTCCTCTATCCCCACCCCAAGTCTGACCCATCTGTTGCTACCCAAGTCCTGGTTTTTGTCAGCAAGAAGGGAAAACAAAGGAGTAAATTGAATCTTGCTGAGAAGTCAGAGCAATAATTTACAGCACTGCACAGTGAAGGGCATTTTGAAATTACTCAAAAAGAAATACTGAAATACATTTTGGCTACAACAGAAGTCAGAGAATTTTTTTTAAGAGAATGACTACTGTAAACTTTTGGATATTTAGGTCATTTCCATTTTTTATTACTAGTTATGGTGCATGAAATGTCCTGTGTTAAGTGTTTACATACACATGAGGGAGTTCCATTAGTTACTTTTTTTCTCATTTGAATTACATTGGTGCTAGCTATGTCCACCTTAGCAGAATTGATAAAATAGTTACTCAGATAATTTTCTATGTTTTTGGGTCCTCAAAGGAATATCAGTTGAGAAAGACTGCTAGGGTATATAACTGGAAGTAGAATTTCTGTGTGATGTTACTTCATCATAATTCTTCAAAATAGGTGGGTAAATTTATGTTTTTATCAGAAGGGAATAGGATTCCTGTTTCCCCACAAGCTTGCCATCGCTGGGTTTTGTGAAGCCATTAAAATTTGGCCTAGTTGGTGGAGTGGTTCAAGTAGTAGAGTACCTGCCTAGCAAGTGTAAGGCCCTGAGTTCAAACTCCAGTATTCCAAAAAAAAGAAAAAAAAAAAAAAAAGTAAAATTTGGCCTAACGGCTGGGAATGAAATTTTATCTCTTTTGCATTTCCACAATTGGCCAGTGGGATTACTATTTTCTGGTTTTTTATTTCTGTCCATTGTCCATTTTTCATTGAGATGACACTCTCATTCTCTCACTTCCTTGCTACTTGAATACTTTATTCTAGATATAATACTCTTTTCTTGGCTATATATATATATATATACACACACATACATACATATTAATATACATAATATGTATACATTTATATTTTGTTTATGTGCACTTAGATCCATAACATTTTTAATTTTAATATAGCAGAATTTATCTCTTTTATTTATGGCTTGTGTCTTTTTTTTTGCTTAATAAATTTTATTTTTTGGTAGGACTGGTATTTTAATTCAGGGCTTTGTGATTGGAAAGCAGGTGCTCTTCACCTCAGCCACACCTCCAGTCCATTTTGCTCTGGTTATTTTTGGAGATGGGGGTCTCACAAACTATTTGCCTGGACTGGCCTCAAACTGTGCTCCTTCTGATCTCAACCTTCCAAATAGCTGGCATTATAAGTGTGAGCCAACAGTGCACAGCAATAAATCCTGTTTGCCCTGAGATCATAGATCTTCCCATACATTTTCTTTTAAAAGTTTTGCTTTTCACATTTATGTAATTTTAATTCATTTGGAATCAATTTTGGGCAACAAATGAAGTTGAGATCCAAGTTTATTTTTTCTATATAGGCAACAAGTTGTACCAGTACCATTATTAATTTTCCTCCCAAACGACTATAATGCCACTTAGTTGTGTAACAATCTCCTATAAATGTGGATCTGTTTCTGGGCTCCTTCTCCCCTGCCTTCCATTAGTTTAAATGTCTTTGTGTCAAACTCAATCAATCTTCCTGTCTTTTTCTTTTCTTCCTTCCTTCCCTGACTGGGTCTCACTGTGTAGTCCAGGCTGGCCTGGAACACCACCTCTCTCAATCTCCCAAGTACTGGGATTGCAGGAGTATGCCATGCTCTGCTCTGATCTTGATAAGAATCTACCATCTCTGTTAAGAAGTTATCCACATAATTGTTGCTCCTCATAAATAATCTGCTTTATTTTTTTAAAAATATCTCTGGTTGCTTGCTAATTTTTTTTGTCCTTGGTATTCTGAAGGTTTATTTTGGTGCATGTGGGTATGAGTTTATTTTGTTTATTCTTTGAACATTTGACATGCTTTACCATGTTGAGGGTTCATATACTAATCCAATCTTAAAACCTGTAAATCACTTTTCAAAAAAAAAAACCAAAAAAATCCTCTCTTCCATTCTTCCTACATTTACTCTGGAACTTCTACAGGACCCATTTATTTCATTTTATATCTTTTAGGTCTCTCACACTCATTATATTTATTTCCTTAAATATTCCCTTCTGTGTCATTTCCTCAGATCTCTAGGTCAGTATACTAATTCTCTCTTTAGTTTTCTATTTTTTTAACCACATAGCAAATATTTAATGTCCATGACTGTACTTTCACTTTTAAAAGTTCTTTTGTGCTTTGTACTATCTGCTTGATTTTACTTACCCCCATTTCACATTTGAATACCAATGTCGCACTTTTTTTTTTCTTGTGATGGTTCTGGGTTTGAACTCAGGGCTTTACACTTGCAAAGCAGGCACTCTACTGCTGGAGCCACATTTCCAGCCCTACCCCATTTCAAAATGACTTAGATTCCTTTAAAAAATCTTTTAAATCATTTAATTACATTTATTTTTATATGTCTCTCAATTTTCTCTTTTAGTTCAATTGCTGGATGCACTTAACTCTCCTGTTTTTACATTTCCTGACCATCCTTTGGTGGATCATAAAACTATGTAGATTTTAGCTTCTTATTTAATTTATTTTCAATGTGTTTATTTCCATTGTGAATTCTACATACTTTGTGTAGCAAAAATATTTCTAGAGAGGGGCTTTCCAACTGTGTTTGTGAGTACCTTGGGGCTTCCTTCCCTGGTCCTAAGTTCATGTTTATATTAACTTCTCAGTTTAGGATTTTCTCATCATCCAGATGGAGTTTAATTTTATATTTGCTTAGAGTTCTCATTCTCTCAGGTGGGTTCTCCCCTTGAACCAATGAGAGGAGCTGGTACCATAATTACCTTTTCATGGAGCATCAGTTCTAGTGGCCATCTACCAAGTATCCTGTGTGTGTATTTTAGCCCTAACTTTTAGCCTTAGACTGTATCTGGTATGGTATACCCTGTACTGTCTGAATTTTAGCTAAAAGGCTAATTATTTAGGTTTTTAGTTTCCTTTTGTTTCTAACATCTGCTCATTTTCTTCCCCTATC